CCCCAAAAGGGTTAATTTTTTAATGTGCCACCCATAAATACTGAGAGGAGCATGAGAGTGACCTTGACCTTCACAACTGCATTTCTTCTTCTCTGAAGTCACGGGTGTGTGTGTGTGTAGGGGGGACTTTGTGGCATAACAGGTTAAGCTACCACCTGCAGTGCCGGCAATCCCATATGGATCCATATGGATGCTGGTTTGAGTCCCGGGTGCTCCACTTCAAATCCAGCTCCCTACTAATGCACCTGGGAAAGCAGTGGAAGGTGGTCCAAGCCCTTGGGCCACTGCACCCATGTGGGAGACCAGATGAAGCTCCTGGCTCCAGCCTGGCCCAGTCCCAGCTGTTGTGGCCATTTGGAGAGTGAACCAGAAGATGTAAGATCTGTCTGTCTGTCCTCCTGCTTCTCTGTAACTCTGCCCATCAAATAAATAAAAATAAATCTTTTTTTTTTTTAATCTTATTTATTTATTTATTTATTTTTTTTTTTTGACAGGCAGAGTGGACAATGAGAAAGAGAGACAGAGAGAAAGGTCTTCCTTTGCCGTTGGTTCACCCTCCAATGGCCGGCGCGGCCGGCGCGCTGCGACCGGCGCACCGCGCTGATCCGATGGCAGGAGCCAGGTGCTTTTCCTGGTCTCCCATGGGGTGCAGGGCCCAAGCACTTGGGCCATCCTCCACTGCACTCCCTGGCCACAGCAGAGAGCTGGCCTGGAAGAGGGGCAACCGGGACAGAATCCGGCGCCCCGACCGGGACTAGAACCCGGTGTGCCGGTGCCGCTAGGCGGAGGATTAGCCTAGTGAGCCACGGCGCCGGCCAATAAAAATAAATCTTAAGAAGAGTAAGTCACGGCAGCTACCACATAGCACCAGCAGATGTGGGTTAAGCTGACTGCAATCCCAGGATCCAATATGGGCATCACTGTGTGTCCCGACTGGGAAGGCAGCAGAGGGTGGTCCAAGTACTTGGGCCCCTACCACCCATGTGGGAAGTCCAGAGGAAGCTCCTGGCTCCTAGCTTCGGCCTGGCCATACCCAGCCATTGCAGCCATGTGGGTAGTGAGCTGGTGGATGCAGGATCTCTGTCTCTTCCTCTCTGTGTAACTCTTTCAAATAAATAAAAATAAATCTTAAAAAAAGCAAATCACAACCACACTGGTGCTTTCCTAACAGCACTAAAACCTAGTGAGTACCAATGCTCCTCAGCCTACAGCGGTATTGAACTGGTAAACCCGTTATGTTGAAAATGCGTTTAATCCACTTAACTTACTGAAACCAAGGCTCAGCCATGCAGGACACAAGGGGACTGGTGGTTTGCCCTTGTGATGAACTGGCAGACTGGGAACTGCTGCTTGCTACCCCCGCCGAGCATCGAGGAAGAGGACAGTACCTTAGATAGCTGATCTGAGCAAAGGTAATGCATGGTTTCTTCAGAATGTGTACCATTTTTTGTATCATAAAGTCAAAAAATTGTTATGTTGAAACATTTTAAGTCAGAGACTATACTTACTATGTACCAGTTTCAAGTGCTTTCTACATATGAAGGCTCTGTTATGTGTAGGTATTTAGCCCATTTCAGAAACCAGGACACCAAGGTGGGGCTGGCATTGGTGTTGCCAGTACAGCCTCTGGTGCCAAATTTGGCTGCTCCACTTCTCATCCAGCTCCCTGCTAATGCGCCTGGGAACGCAGCAGAAGATGGCCCAAGTCCTTGGGCCCCTGCACCCACATGGGAGACCCGGAAGGAGCTCCTCCTGATTGGCCCAGCTCTAGCCATTGAGGCCATTTAGGGAGTAAACCAGTGGATGGAAGATCTGTCTCTCCTCTCTCTCTGCCTTTCAAATAAATACATTAATCTTTTTTTTTTTTTTTTTTGACAGAGTGGACAGTGAGAGAGAGAGAGACAGAGAGAAAGGTCTTCCTTTGCCGTTGGTTCACCCTCCAATGGCTGCCGCGGCCAGCGCGCTGCGGCCGGCGCACCGCGCCGATCCGATGGCAGGAGCCAGGTACTTATACTGGTCTCCCATGGGGTGCAGGGCCCAAGGATGTGGGCCATCCTCCACTGTACTCCCTGGCCACAGCAGAGAGCTAGCCTGGAAGAGGGGCAACCGGGACAGAATCTGGCGCCCCGACCGGGACTAGAACCCGGTGTGCTGGCGCCGCAAGGCGGAGGATTAGCCTAGTGAGCCACGGCACCGGCACATTAATCTTAAAATTAAAAAAAAAAAAAAAAAAAGACACTAAAGTAACATGTTCCTTCCCCAACAGACATTCACACACACCTGGGAAGCCTGCCTCTGAGCCACCAAGTTTCTCCATGTACCTCATGCTGCTTGCTGCTGGTCACCTTTCCCAGGCCCTGTCCAGCAGTTGCTGACCCCTCTCATTCCTGGGCGAGGGGTATGGCCGCAGTTTAAAATGCAAAGATCACACAGCAGAGCCACCATTGCAGCCACCACTTGTGATGCAGGCATCCCATATTGGAGTGCCAGTCCAAGTATGGACCGCTCCACTTCCAATCCAACGCCCTACTAAAGTGCAACCAAACATGGCCCAAGTACTTGGGCCCCTGCCACCCATGTGGGAAACCCGGATGGGTCAGCTCCTGGCATTGGCCTGGACCAGCCCTGGCAGCTGTAGCCACTTCAGGAGCAAACCAGAGGGTGGATGGAAGATCTGTTTCTTCCTCTGTCACTCCACATGTCAAAAAAGTCTTAAAATAAGGATCACAAACCACAAATATATTCAGTGGCATAGTGGGTAAAGCTTCTGCCTGCAGTGCTGGTTCAAGTCCTGGCTCTTCCATGTCCCATCCAGCTCCCGGCTAATGTACCTGGGTAAGTAGAGGACCATAGCCCAAGTCCTTGGGCTCCTGTACCCACATGGGAGACCAGAATGAGGCTCCTGCCTCCTAGCTTCAGCCTGGCCTAGCCCTGGCCATTGTAGGCATCTGGGGAGTGAACCAGCAGGTGGAAGACCTCTCTCTGCCTCTCCTCTGGAACTTTGACTTCCAAGTAACAAATTCACACACACAAACACAAAAGTCCAGCAAGACAGCACCAATGCTCAAAACCGGGTTTATGCCTGAGAAAACTTCAGCGTTCTGACTTGACTTTAAGCCTTTTCTTGCTTGGGGACCACAAAATGTAAAATAGACAAAATAGGTGTGACCATCCTGGCTTATCTCATCCTTTCAATGGCATCTCCAACAGATCCTGCACCTGGGTGCTCAGAGACTGGAAACGACCAGGGGCTGGTATTATGGTGTGGGTAAAGCCACTGCCTGCAGTGCCAGCATCCCATGTGGATGCCAGTTGGAGTCTCCACTGCTCTACTCCCAATCCAGCTCCCGGGTAATGGCCTGGGGGAAGAAGCAGACAATGGCTCAAATGCTTGGGCCTGGGCACCCATGTGGGAGACTTGGATGAAGCTCCTGGCTCCTGACTTTGACGTGGTCCAGCCCTGGTTTTCAGGCCATCTGGGATCTGTAACTCTGCTTTTCAAGTCAATCAGTCAGTCTTGAGAGAGACTGGAAACTACTGCAGTGAAAACCCGGAGGAGGGGAGGCGTTTGTGTAGTGGTTTAAGTTGCCACCACTTAGGAAGCTCACATTCTATATCCCAGTCCCTGGGCTGGAGTTCCAGCTCCACTTCCGATTACAACTTCCTGTTTATGTGTACCAGCGCTGTGGTGTAGCAGGTTAAGCTGCCACCTGCAGTGCCAGCATCCCATATGGGTGCCAGTTCAAGTCCCAGCTGCTCCACTTCCGGTCCAGCTCTCTGCTATGGCCTGGGAAAGCAGTAGAAGATGGCCCAAATCCTTGGGCTCCTGCATCTGCATGGGAGACCTGGAAGAAGCTTCTAGTTTTGGATTTGCACAGCTCCAGCTGTTGCAGCCAACTGGGGAATGAACCAGTGGATGGAAAACCTCTCTCTCTCTCTTCCTCTCCTTCTCTCTCTCTGCAACTCTCCCAAATAAATAAATAAATCTTAAAAAAAAAAAAAAAAAAATGTGTACCATGGGAGCAGCAGTTGATGGTACAAGTACTTGGGTTCCTACCACCATCATGGGAGGCCCAGATTGAGTTACAGGCTCCTAACTTCAGCCTGGCCCATCATCAGCTGTTGTGGGCATTTTGGGTATAATATAGAAGATTTCTCTCTGCCTTTCACATAAAATATTTAGTTTAAAAAAATAAGGAGGGCTGGCGCCGCGGCTCACTAGGCTAATCCTCCACCTTGCAGTGCCGGCACACCGGGTTCTAGTCCCGGTCGGGGCGCCGGATTCTGTCCCGGTTGCCCCTCTTCCAGTCCAGCTCTCTGCTGTGGCCAGGGAGTGTAGTGGAGGATGGCCCAAGTGCTTGGGCCCTGCACCCCATGGGAGACCAGGAGAAGCACCTGGCTCCTGCCTTCGGATCAGCGCAGTGCGCCGGCCACGGCGGCCATTGGAGGGTGAACCAATGGCAAAGGAAGACCTTTCTCTCTCTCTCTCACTGTCCACTCTGCCTGTCAAAAAAAAAAAAAAAAAAAGAATAAAAAAGAAAAAAGAAACCTTGAGGGCAAAAATAACCCCAGTACATATACTGAGAGGCTGCTCTGTGCCAGGCATTGCATTTTACATCCTAAGTTAATCTCTTTACAAAAACGCTCAAGAAAGTTACCACCTCTTACAGAACAGACCGACTCAAAGAAGTTCCTCCTGCTACTGCTCATAAGTGAGCCTCTCTAAGGTAGCTTAGCCAGAGTTAAACAGCCACAGAAGGGCATCACCAGGGAGCAGGGTCCCTTCCCAATCTCAGGGGACAGGAGCCCCCAGGGTCCTCCACAGGCATCCACTGCTACCACATTCCCTAGGGCAGCTCCGACTTGGAGAGTGTCGCTGGTTATCCCGGGTAGTTCATGCAAACTTAGATCACACAGCCTGAGACAGCATGGAAAACGTGGCGGCTAAACCTATCCGGCTTCGGCCTCCCGGCGCGGCCAGCAGTCGTAGGACTCACCGCGCGGAGGGACGGGGTTTATTGGTTCCTTCAGTTCGTCACATTCCATCCCCGTGTCTCGGCCTCGGCCGGAGACGTGGACTTGCGAGCAATCAGGGCAGGAGTTAGGGGGAACGTGCGCACCCGGGGCTACTCCCCGGGGCCCGCGGAGTCCTGGGAGCGGCATCCCTGGCCTCCAGTCCCCGCTGGGCCCATGCAGGGGGAAAGGTCGCCTTGGACTCCCGCGCCCAAGCCAAGGTCTCCGCGCCCATGAAGACAGGTCCAGTCTCACGCTGACCTCCCGCCTCCGCTGACCATCCAGTTCTTCCTCCAGGCCACGTTCTCTTGCGTGGCCACAGACTCTCGCAGAGTGGCCATTACTAGCTGCTGGGTCCTGGCCGCCTCGTCCCTGCGCCGCGGGTCCTGCTCCGGCATCTCCTGAGAACAGGAAGGAGATTCGCAGTCCCAGCCCCCAGCCCGAGGTTCTGGGCCGCCCACTCCACCTCAGGACTCCCGGCTGCGCCTACCTTCAGCATCGCCTGCTTCCGCAGCTCTCCTGGGGTCACGAGCGCAAAGAGCGCGGAGCCCAGCCCAGCCCCGGCGCCCAGCGCTGCGACGACGACCAGCGCCTTCCGCAGCAGCACCATGGCTGGCCGCGCGACCAGCGAGGCGCCCTCGGGAGCCTCCCGCCGCCTAGAAAGGTGGCTACCGACGTCCCGTCACCTCCTGCGCAGCCTAGAGCGGCCCAGAGCGGAAACCATTGAGAAATGGCTGGCCTAGAGAGGGCCTGACCATAGAAACGTTTAGCCCAGAGCGCCCGCGTCTTCACAGATAACAGTTGAAGCGATTGCGTTTCAAGAAAAGGTGTTGGTGCGGAGGACTGAGTGCGTGGCGTTGTGGCTCCAGACCCAGAGTGGGCCGAGTGCGTGCCCTTGTTGTTGCTATAGGTTTTACAGTTGCCCAGTTTTCTGTCCTCCAAGATTTCTCCATCATCCGAGGGCTCAGCTGCACTCTGGTTTCCAGCAAAATTGAGCGTTTTCCTTTTTTAACAATTCAAAAATATATTTAAAAAAATTTTTTTGAAAGGCAGAGAGGGACACATCTTCCATTTTCTGGTTCACTTCCCAAATGCCCTTAGCAGCTCCTGCTAGACCAGGCCAAAACCAGGAACCAGGAACAGCATCCAGGTCTCCTACGTGGGTGGCCGAGGACTCAAGTACTTCAGCCATCACTGCTGTCTCCCAGGGTGTGCCCATTTGGGAAGCAGAGAAACTGGACTCTAACCAAACACTCTGATTTGGGATGCAGGTGTCCCAAATGGCTTTTCAGCCACTAGGCCAAACACCTGTCCCTACTTGAGCATTTTCAACATAGCACAAAATGTCAATCCAGATATTTGCACATATCAATTTACTGACCCAGAAACCAAGCCCTATACAGTGCCTTTGATGTAGATACTATCAGGCCCTAGTCTCCCACAGTCTCTTCCCTTGTCTTAAATTTTCTTCACAAAGCAACCTCTTACTAAAATCAGCTCACTGAACTGAGGGAATAGTGTCACTGGCCCCACTGCATCCTTCATAACAAGTATGAGGTCATTTATTGGCTCAATAAGTAACATTTTTAAAATATTTTCTTTATTTGCGAGGTAGAGTTACAGAGAGAGGGAGACAGAGAGAAAGGTCTTCCATGCATTAGTGCACTCTCCAAATGGCCTCAATAGCCAGAGCTGAGCCCATCCAAAGCCAAGAGCCAGGAGCTTCTTCTGGGTCTCCCACATGGGTCCATGGGCCCAAGCACTTGAGCCATCTTCCACTGCTTTCCCAAGCTATCACAGAGAACTGGATTGGAAGAGAACCAGCACCCATATGAGATGCGGGCACCTCAAGTGGAGGCTTAGCTTACTACGCCGCAGCGCTGGCCCCAATAGGTAACATTTTGATGTTCATTCCTGTTTTGGGGGACAAGTTACTTCCAGAGAAGTAACTACCACCTATAGCTCACTGAAGCCTAGTTTGCTTCATCAAACTTCCTGAAAGCTGTATCTATTTTTGGCCAATCAAGCTGCAGATCAAGCAAGGACCTGCACGTGAACTGAACACAAACTTCTCAAACCCAACTTCATGTTATAAGAACCTTTACCCTTAACCTCTCCAGGAACCTGGGCATTAAGTGATAGCTGTCTGGCTTCTTGCTCTATGCTTTGCAAATAAATACCTACTGTCTTCTTCTTTTTAAAGATCTTCCATCTGCTGGTTCACTCCCCAGGTGGGAGCTGGGTTGGTCCAAAGCCATGAGCCAAGAGCTTCTTCCAAGTCCCCCACCTGGGTGCAGGGGGCCCAAGCTTGTGGGCCATTTTCTGCTGCTTTCCCAGGTGCATTCGCAGGAAGCTGGTTCAGAAGTGGAGCAGCTGGGACTCAAACTGGCACCCACATGGGATGCCAGGGCCGCAGGTGGCAGGTTAACCCGCTGTGCCACAGCACTGGCCCCATACTTACTTTGTTCTACAACCCCAAGGTCAGGCAAGTAGACCCAGGTTTTGGGGGTTCTGAAACAATCCCTTTTAGTCACAACAACTCAAACAAAATGTGGGTTGAAGCCACCACATGTGATGCCCACATCCCATATGGGCACCGGTTTGAGTCCCGGCTGCTCCACTTCTAATCCAGCTCCCTGCCAATGTCCCTGGGAAAGTAGCAGATTTCCCAAGTACTTGGGTCCCTGCACCCATGTGGGAGACCCAGAAGCTCCAGGCTCCTCGCTTCAGCCTGGCCCAGCCCTGGTCATGGAGGCCATTTGGGGAGTGAACCAGCAGATGGAAGATTCTCCCTCTCCTTCTCTCTCTGTAATTCTGCCTTGCAAAAAAAATTTTTTTTAAATGGCCTCTAATAGTACCCATCTCATAATTGTAGGACAATTAAATCAATTTATAGGTGAAACATTTAAGGCAATTCCTGGAGAATAGTAAACACCATAAAAATATTAAATAAAATCCAGACAGATGTCCCAGACTGAGAAAAACCAGTAAACAGAGAAGTCAGGGAATTGTGAATTTGTTGTCAAAGCTCTTCACTCCCAGGCTTTAATCCAGATGCACTTGTTCTCTCCAACCTGTGCTGCCGTGCCCAGTGTCTCTGGGAGTAAGGAGCAATAAAGCTCCTGTCCCACCTCTTGGGCTTCTTCCCCGCCTGGAAAGCCCATAATCTCCTAGCTTGCCACCCTCCTGTCCTCAGAAGCGATTATGCAGTCAGGTTCCAAAGAAGATTAAAGGAGCAGTGTGTGGGTGCCCTGGGCAAGGGTACTCTACCCTGAGGACCCTCTTAAGAATTCAGCCAGCTTGCACTTTTACAGTCACCACCATGGCCCTTGTGCCAGGGAACAGCGAGGAGGATGGGCCTTGGCCTAGGGATAGTGCAGGTTCCTCCCGGTGCCCGGAAGGTCCCAGGCTGACCAGCTCTCTTTGGAAGGACACGGGAGCTATTGGCAGGGCTGAAGGTCCCCAGGATGTTCAGGCTGTCTCTCAAAAGCCACGCCTGCCCTCCATTGTCGTGGAAACGTCTGAGGTGAATGAGGACGGTGCAGGTCTCCAGTGGCCATGTGAGGACCTGCTGCTGCTCACTGATGGTGAGGAGGAAGCCGAGGCCTTCTTCCAGGACCAGAGTGAAGAGCCAGGTGAGAGGTGCCTGGGTGTTCTGGGCAGGGTCGGGAAGGAACACGGTGTCCCCTGCATGCAGCAGGACAAGGCATACAGCAGGCACTCAAAGTGAGGAAAGATGTGGGAGAGAAACATCAAGGCAGATGGTGAAGTTGAACATTGGAGAGAGCTGTGCTGTCATATGGGGTAACATTTTTAGATGTGTACCTTGAATATTTTTTAAAAATTAGTTTATTGTTGGGAAAAGATAATAAAATGACCTCAAACCCAACTACCCATAGTAAATATTCTTGATACCTCTTTTTCTTTGTCCAGTTCTGTGTACTGTTACAGAAGCTACCTATCTTATTTACTTTTTTTAATTATTTACTGTTAGGCAATGAGCTTAACACTTTCACTTCATATTCCGTAAACTCAACATGGGACTTTCCCTTCATGGATGAGGCTGTGGAATCAAGGTTCTCAATCATGATCACTTGTTTGTTTTCCCCCTCAAAGTATTTTTTGTTTGATTTTTAAAATTTTGAGAGGCAGAGAGACAAAGGAAGAAACCGAGGGCTCCCATTTCCTGGTTTGCTCCTCAAATGCTTGTACCAGCTGGGACTGGGGCAATCTGTCTCCCACATCAGTGGGAGGGATCATGTTTCATCACCATCCCTGCTGCCTTGGCAGGGAGCTGGACAAAGGCTGGGAGTCAGGAATCCAAGCTAGGCATTCCAACACGGGACAAGGGTATCCCTCCCAACCTGCATCTTAACTGGTAGGCCAAATATTCCACCTTCCTTTTTATAAGGAAAAAAACCACCTTACACAAATTAGTCCTGTAACCGTTTTAAATCTCACTTATCTATGAGGAGTATTTCACTGCAAATGGGCTCTGCTCTTTTCCTTCCTCCCCAGGCTGGACTTGGAGCCCACAGGACCCTAGGTCTCCCTCAAGAACATTTAACCCTGGAGTCATCTGGGGGCAAGAGCAGTTAGAACAAGATGCCTCTTGGACTCCTGAAGACTCTGAGTACCAGGAAGCCCCCAACCCCTGTGCTCACAGGGACCCAGCAACAGGTTCCTGTGTCTGTAGAAGCCCCTTTGTGGAGTACTCCCACCTCCTCCTCCCTCCTGTTAACTTTGCAGGTAAGTATTGTTGGCTTTCCCTCACCTAGCTTTGTTTATGAAGCCTTTGTACCCATTTTATCATAATCTTCCTTTTTCCACAGGTGAGGTTTAGTAAATTGTTGCTGGGATTTGGACTAAGTACGCTTTGGCATCCCATATGGGCTCCAGTTCCGATCCAGCTCTCTGCTGATGCACTTGGGAAAGCAGTGGATAATGGCTTAAGTGCTCGGGCCCCTACAACCACATGGGAGAAACAGTTTCTGGCTCTTGGCTTCAGCCTGGCCCAGCCCTGGCCTTGAGGAGTGAACAGGCCTTAAAAAAAAAAAAAAAAAAAACCTCTGCTTTTAGGAGCTCCTGTTAGCTCTAGTGGTGACCCCACTTGTACCTTCTCTTTCCAGCAGTCATCCAGTGCCTGCCACTGTGAAATGTCTCACCTATTACTGGATGTAATCTTTGAAAGGGAGAGAACTTCCATTTGCTGGTTCACTTCCTGAATACAGCTGTCAGGGCTGGACCAGGCTAGGCCAGAGCCAGGAACTACATCTCGGGTCTCCCGTGTGGGTAGCAGGGACCCAAGTACTTGAGTCACCATCTGCCGGCATCCCAGGATGTGCATTGGTGGGAAAGCAGCAGGGACCCACTAGGTACTCTATCCAATGTCCACTTGCAACTGTAGGCATTTCCCCATTCTGCAGATGGGTAAACCGAGGCACCAAATGTGGAGGCCAGTTCTCAAATCCTCATATTCCAGCCAACTCACCCTGCAAGGACAGAGCTCTATCTAACCGTTTCCTTGACCAACTGAAACGCCAGGGTCAAAACGCAAGTGTTTTTAATGAGCGCCTTGAACCAAGTACGCAAAGTAGGTAATGCCCCTGAAAGGGCCAAGCTCCTGCACAGTCACATTGCAACCGCGGGACCCTTGCTCCAGGCAGGGCAGCCGCACATCCGGGTCCTCATCTGAAAACTGAATCAGGGTCCCCTGCGGGCTCAGGACCCTCAAGCATTCTGAGAGCAGCCGGTAAGCGCCAGGCAGACCACCTCGGGCAACAGCATCCCAAGTGCCCTTGTCCAGCACTAGCTGGAAGGAGCCCGACGCAGCCACAGGACCCAGGTTCTGAGCATCAGCCTGCATGAAGTGCAGCCGGGAAGCGGGATGCCCAGGGCACAGCGGTGTTTGGCCTTGGCTCCCCTCCAGGAGGCTGTTCATGTGAGCCACGGCGACGGGAGAGAAGTCCACTCCCAGCACGTCCACAGGGTGTGGGGAGCTGGTGTAGAGGCCTGTACACAAGCCCGAGGTCCCACAGCCCACGTCCAGCACCCGCAGTGGACCGGCAGCCCGTGCCTCCTGCAGCAGCGGCAGTAGCAGTCCCTGGACTTGCTCATATCCAAAGAACCAGTCGAAGGTAGGGGCGCTGCCGGGACGCAGCTGGGCATGGAACCGATCCCAGAGGCAGCGGTCCGCCAGGCAGCTACCGGCCAGAGAGCCTGCGGACACAGGGAGCCTGGGTCACCTGGTGCGTGAGTTCCATTTGCAGCCTGCAGGCTCTTGGAGCCACCATTTCAGGGACCACACCGCGGGGCATGGCAGACCCACCTTGCCCTCCCCACCTCCATACCGGCCAAGGCGCGGGGCACGCATGTCACGAGTGACCGCACGTGGAGCATTCGGAAGGTCGGCAAATTCCCGCGCCGCGAGGGACGTATGCAGCCTCAGAGTTTAAAAAAAAAAAGAAAAAGAAAAAGGACGCGGACACGGACCTGCGGTACGAACAAACCTTTATTGGTTACCACGCAAAAGGGAACAGAGCGCGGGGTTTGACAGCTCCTGGTCCAAGGAAGGCGTCCGCAGACCTGAAACCAAAGCAGAAGGCGTGAGCACCCTCCGGGAGCAACCCGCAGGCCCTGGGCTCTGCCCTGCTCGATGAGCCGTGTCTCGGCGCTTGAGGATAGAACCGGCGGACGGGAAGCAGCCGGCACCGAAGACATGACGCCGAGGGGCCCGGAGCCCTCTTCCTCTGCCTCCGCACATAACGGGGAGCGGGATCGTACGCCCGGTCCCCGCCAAGAAAGGGAGGGTTCGAGACCCCACCCACGACCCTCGCCCGACCCCCACCCCCGAGGCGGGCGGCGGAGACAGGACTCACCCGCACAGCGCGCGCGGAAAGACCGGCGCCAGGGCCTAGCCTCCTTATATAGTCCAGGGCCCGCCCCCGAGCCGCGATTGGCCGGCGGGGGCTGGGGGCGGAGCCCTGCGGGGGCTGGGGGCGGAGCCCTGCGGAGCCGGCGTGCGGCGGAAGTGTGGCGGAGAGCGAGCGTCCGGGCTCAGCCATGGGGCCTCCGGGGGGCAAGATCAACAGGCCTCGAACGGTGACTGCGTGGGGTCGCTACTTTTTCCCTTCAGGCGTCGCGGGGCCCCCTTCTCTCGCTCGAGATGGGATCGAAGGGGCCGGGGCCTCCGGGGGCGGGGGTCCCGGGACGCGGCGCGCGGCGTCCCTCTGACTCGCATTTTCTCTGGCGCAGGAACTGAAGAAGAAGCTGTTCAAGCGCCGGCGGGTGTTGAACCGGGAGCGGCGACTGAAGCGTCGGGTGGTCGGGGCTGTGGTAGACGCGGGACTGATCACGCGGCACCACCTCAAGAAGCGGGCGTGAGCGCCAACCCCTTTCCCCGTGGCCCTCCCCGCCCACGCCGGAGCAGCCGGTACCCCCGGTTTGCTTTGCGCGCTCTGATCTGTGCTGGTCGATAGTTCGTTCCCAAACTCTGCTAGCCTGTCTATGCGTGTGGCTTACAGCCTCCTTTAGGGTCTCGGTGAAGCCACCGCTTGGATGCCTGCGTCCCACATTGGAGAGCTGTCGACTACCCCACTCCCTGAAGTAACAGTGTACATCCACTTAAACTTTTTTACCAGTAAACGTATGTTTGCATTCAGAAAACTGCACACAGAAGTGTGTACCAGTCAGTGAGTTTTCCCCAAAACAGAAGATTGTGCACGGAAGTTCCAAGGCTCCCTAATACTTAATCTCAAGATATGTATTGAGATTAAAGTCTAGGTGTTGGAGAGACTTAGCTCATGACTTTCTTAGATCCCAGATTTTTAAACAGTTGTGTGATTTGAATTTTCCCATAGCCATTCCCATTCCCGTTTGCGTGATGTAAACCAGTTCACGGCAACCAGGACTCTTTCTCCTCCTTAGGTCCAGCGCGCGGGCCAACATTACTCTGTCGGGGAAGAAACGCAGGAAACTCCTCCAGCAGATCCGGCTTGCCCAGAAGGAGAAGGCGACTATGGAAGGTGAGACTGGGGCACAGACGCAGGAGGAGGAGTGGGGTGGGTTTATTCTGGTTGTTTCATGCTTCCTTTTTCCTTCTGCTCAGTGGATGCCCCCTCAAAGCCAGCCAGGACCAGTGAACCACAGCCCAAACGGCAAAAGAAGACAAAAGCCCCCCAGGATGTAGAAATGGAGGACCTTGAAGGTGGCAGCTGAAGGTCTTACCTCCTCCATCAGAAGTCTCAACCGGAGCCGGAAGGACTCAGAGGACTTTGGAGAAAGCATTTCCCCCTTTTCATTCTTCCCAGATTCCTCTTCCTTAGTGGCCCACTGACCTCCCCTGGAGGGATGTGTCAGCAGAGAAGAAGGGCCCCTAGCAGTCAATTCCTTTTGTAATAAAGCCCTTAAACTCTTGACTGAGACGTGTGTGATCGCAGTGGGCCGTGAAAAGAGGTCTGTGAGTGTGCAAACACAACAGATAGTCTGGAGGGAGGAGCCCCAAAACTTGCTCAAGCCAAGGCAACCAGGAGCCAACCTCTGCAGTGGCCCAGTCTCCCTAGTGAGTGGCCCTGCAGCTTTGCATTTTCAGACAGAAATAGAGGGATATGTAGGGATAGCAGAGGCAGTAAGGGTCCTGGTAACCAGTGCCGCCATTGCTCCTGTGTGACCAGAATAGGCTAATCATCTCACATTTTGTTTGTCTTTGCTCCTTTTGTTGTGTTACGTTTTCTTTCTCTCTCTCTTTTTTTTTTTTAAGATTTAAAAAATTGGTGCTGGCATTGTGGAGTAGCAGGTAAAGAGGCTGCCTAGGACGCTGACATCCTAAATGGGTGCAGGTTCATGTCCCAGCAGCTCCACTGCCCATCCAGCTCCCTGCCAGTGGTCTGGGGAGAGCAGTGGAAGATGGCCTAAGTATTTGGGCTGCTGCAACCCATGTGGGAGACCTGGATAAAACCTGGCCCAGCACTGGCCTTTGCAGCCATCTGGGGAGTGAACCAGCAGGTGGATGATCTCTGTCCCTCTTTCTAACTCTGCCTTTCAAAATAAATCTTTAAAATGGTTTTTTTTATGTATTTATTTTTTTGAGAGAGAGAGCTCCCATCTGCCAGTTCACTCCCCAAATGCCACAGCAGCTAGGGTTGGGCCAGCCCAAGCCAGCAGCCTGGAACTCCATCTGGGTCTTCCACGTGGGTAGGAGGGCAGCCATCTGCTGCTGTCCTGGTTACATCAGCAGAAAGCTGGATTGCAAGTGTAGCAGCCTAGGTTTGAACCAGGACTCATATAGGATGCCGGCATCACAGGCAGTGTTTAAAGTCACTCTGGCATAACACTGGCCCCTTGAAAACCAATTTTTTTTTCTTAATGTTTAAAATTTCTGTGGGAAGCCAAGGCTGAGATCCTTAAAATGAAAAGCTCCTTTGCTGAAGTACTTAAGAGGGAAGGGTCTCTGTAATTCAGCGATCCCTGGAAGAGGGAGGGCTTGGGCTCAGCATTCACCTTCCCTCAACATTTTTTTTTTTTTTTGAGATTTTTAAAAATTTATTTGAAAGGCATAGTTACAGAGGGAAGGAGGAAAACAGAAAGATCTTCCAACTGCTCGTTCACTCCCCAGATGGTTGCAATGGCTAGGGCTAGGCCAAGCTGGAACCAGGAGCCAGGACTTTCTTCCGGGTCTCTCACATGAGTGCAGGGACCCAAGGACTTGGGGCCATCTTCTGCTGCTTTCCCAGGCACATTTACCAGGAGCTGGACTGGAAGGGAAGTAGCTGGGTTTCAAACTGGTGCCCATATGGGATGCTGGCATCACAGGCGCCAGCTTTGCCCACTACAGCAACTTATATTTTCCCTCAACTTTATATTTAGGACAATTTTAAACCTTTAGTAAGGATAAGAGATTAGTGCAATGATCCCATGACCATGCTCTCTGTTTAGATTCAAATTTAAATAGTTAACATTTTGCTCTACTTGTTTTACTCTCCCTGCATACTCATGTGTATGTGTGTATCCATTATCCTTAAATGAAATCATTTGAGCCGGCGCCGCAGCTCACTAGGCTAATCCTCTGCCTGCGGTGCCGGCAAACTGAGTTCTAGTCCCGGTCAGGATGCTGGATTCTGTCCCGGTTGCCCCTCTTCCAGGCCAGCTCTCTGCTATGGCCAGGGAGTGCAGTGGAGGATGGCCCAAGTCCTTGGGCCCTGCACCCAATGGGAGACCAGAATAAGCACCTGGCTCCTGCCTTCTATCAGCACGGTGCACTAGCCGCAGCGCACCGGCCGCAGCGGCCATTGGAGGGTGAACCAATGGCAAAGGAAGACCTTTCTCTCTGTCTCTCTCTCTCACTGTCCATTCTGCCTGTCAAAAAAAAAAAATCATTTGAAAGCCAAGTACAAATAATATGAGACTTTATCCCTAAGAATATTCTACATGGCCAAAATGCTGCTATTATACTATTATTACATGTCAGATACTTAACATTGATGAAATAACTAATATTTAGTTTCATATTCAATTTCTTCAATTGTTCCAGTAATATTCTTTGCAGCTCTTTATTTTCTCAGTCCAGGAGTCAATCAAATATTGCATTTGTCATGTCTCTAGTTTCCTTTAACCCAGAATGGTACGTTGTCCTAGATAACACTTAAAAAAGATTTTTAAGTTTAAAAAAAGTTTTGTTAATTTGTTTGAAAGGCAGAGTTACAAAGAGATGGAGAGAGAGAGAGGTCTTCCATCCACTGGTTCATTTCCCAAATGCTTTTGTTCATCAGCAGGAAGCTAGATTGGAAGTGGAGGAATCAGGATTCGAACCAGTACCCATATGGGATGACTGTGTTGCTGGCAATTGCTTAACCTGCTGCACCACAATGCTAGCCCTAGACAACACTTTTTTTTTTTAAAGATCGATTTATTTGATAGGCAGAATGTCAGAGAGAGAAAGAGCTCTTCCATCTGATGGTTCATGCCTCAAATAGCTGCAACCACTAGGCCTGATCGAAGCTGAAGCTAGAAGCCAGGAACTCCAGCTGGGTCTCCCATGTGTGGGGCAGGAACCCAAGTCCTTGGGCCATCCTCTCTGCTCTCCTAGGTACATTAGCAGGAATCTGCTCCGGAAGTGCAGAGTGGCTAGCACTCAAACCAGCAGGCATCTCATGGCACCTGCTGCACCATGAAACCTGACCACTATGGACTGTTGTTTTGGTGATCCGAGTGAGGCCTAAGAATTCTTTCAATTTTCTGTTATTTTTTCATGTGTGAATTGTGCCTCTTCAAGGTGATCTCTATGTGCCTGGATGCACATGCTTTGAACACGTCCTTGCTTTCTGGCAAGGAACAGTTATGTTCCAGGCTCACCTACTACTTCCCCTGCCCACGGACTTGGAATCAGCCATTTGTGGACAGTATTACATCCAGTTTTGAAAACAGAAAGGGGCCGGTGCCGCGGCTCACTAGGCTAATCCTCCACCTAGTGGCACCGGCACACCGGGTTCTAGTCCCTGTCGGGGCGCCGGATTCTTTCCCGGTTGCCCCTCTTCCAGGCCAGCTCTCTGCTGTGGCCCAGGAAGGCAGTGGAGGATGGCCCAAGTGCTTGGGCCCTGCACCCCATGGGAGACCAGGAGAGACACCTGGCTCCTGGCTTCGGATCAGTGCGGTGCGCCAGCTGCAGCGCGCCAGCCGGTGGCTATTGGAGGGTGAACCAACGGCAAAAGGAAGACCTTTCTCTCTGTCTCTCTCTCTCACTATCCACTCTGCCTGTCAAAACAAACAAACAAACAAACAAACACAGACAGGAGGGGCCGGCGCTTTGGTGCAGCAGGTAAACGCCCTGGCCTGAAGCGCCAGCATCCCATATGGGTATCATTTCGAGTCCCGGCTGCTCCACTTCCAATCCAGCTCTCTGCTGTGACCTGGGAAAGCAGTAGAAGATAGCCCAAGTCCTTGGGCCCCTGCACCCACGTGGGAGACCCAGAGGAAGCTCCTGGCTCCTGGCTTCGATCAGCACAGCTCCGGCCACTGTGGCCAATTGAGGAGTGAATCATCGATGGAAGCTCTCTCTCTGCCTCTCCTCTCTCTCTGTGTGATTCTGACTTTCAAATAAATAAATATTTAAAAAAAGAAAACAGACAGGAAAAGTGTTTAAACTGTATGCGGATGCAGAAAGGAGAGGACGGGTGAAGGAAAGATGCTCAACATCTTGGTATACCCTTCATAATTTTGTTCTACTCTGTGCCAAGAGGCTATGTTCAAGGAATTGTCAGAAGTTGAGTGTAGCTCAGAGTGGAGTGAAAAAGGGGGAAGCTGAAAAGAAATGAAGTTGAAGAGGAAGGCAAGGGCCAAAACATTTAGTGCCAGTAGGGAATTTGAATTTTATTTTAATTTTTCCCTAAGTATAATGAGGACTATTAAAGTTGCGTTTCAATTTGTATTTTCATTATGGAAGAATCTCAACCATACCTAAAAGTAGAGAAATTACTACTTATCACCCAACCTCTACTCATCCCATTTTCCAAACTTATTTCCAAACTACCACTACATTTAAATAGACATTGTCTTAAACATTTTTAAAAATGAATAAAAGGGGGACAACACTGTGGTGCAGTGCCAGCATCCCATATGGGCACCAGTTCAAGTCCCAGCTGTTCCACTTCCAATCCCGCTCTCTGCTATGGTCTTGGAAAGCAGTGGGAGATGGCCCAAGATGTGGGCTCCAGGCTCCTGGCTTTGGACTGACCCAGCTCCAGCCATTGCAGCCATTTGGGGAGAGAACCAGTGGATGTAAGACTTCTCTCTCTCTCTGCCTCTGCATCTCTGTGACTCTGCCTTTCAAGTAAATAAATAAATCTTAAAAAAAAAAAAACCTGAATTGAAAAAAAAATTAATGAAGAAAAAGACAAATAGACATTGTCTTCCAGTTTCCTTTGCATTTTCCATCCCATCTTCCCATTAGACATCAGTAACAGACAACTTTTATTTAAGCGATTTGCTGTGCTGCAAATACTGTTCTAAGTCTTTTGCATTTATTATTAGTGCATTAACCCCACAACCAGACTCTGAGGCAGATACTGTAACTATCCCATTTTACTGATATGGGAGCCAAAATCTGGTAAAGTCATTTGTCCATCAGTGACAGAGCTTGTATGTAAGCAGAGTCCGGATGGCATCTCCTCACCTTTGTCATTCAAAGAGGAGTTTCTGTATCTGATATGCTAAGCCATTGAAATAAATATCTTAAGTTATCTTCACCAGGAGTTTGTGAGATAGATGTATCATGTTCTCTTTACTGTGGAGGAAATGGGTGCAAACAGCTGAGTCATTTGCTCAGGGTTATTTTGCTAATAAATGGCAGACATAAGTCTGAATCAACCCACCTCCAAAATGAACACCCTTAAACCGTGAGGTCCTGAGGCCAGCACTGTGGTGG